CCTCTAAAGATGGTGTTGAACCAGGGGAGACTCCTAGAACCCACTGGAAAATGTTGTCACAATTGCGCTTTTCAATTGAAAACAGACATCATCTTTAGAGAGATTTGTCATCTTTAAAGACTTCTGCACGCCATTTCTCGACCCGCTCTTTCATTTGAGCTCAAAAAAACATTCATATCTTGTCTGACATCGCTGCTACAAACTCGGGCCTACAACTCGGGCCTTCAATTGAAAATGAAAAAATGAGAAAAATGTGTAGAATTGAAACACCTATTTTCCAGTATTTTGTTTGCATTTTTATTCACATTGAATGAATTATTTTCTCAATATAAAGACATTTTTTGTTGATTCAACTGAAGAAAAAAAAAGTTTGGGCGACAAAGAAAAAAAATATTATCATAGTTTACTGAATAGAATTATTATTATTTCAAATAATTGATTTTTCAGTTTTATAATTATTATACTTTATTATTACTATTATTATTATTCGCATTATTATTATAGGTATATGTACTGTATGTGTTGCAAGTTTATTAATATGTTATAATCTTGTCTTTGAATCAAACAAATCGTAAATTAGTATTTCCGAACAAGTGGAAACGGCCCTCGGATGGCCAGATATTTATGAAAATCCATGCGATCATAGCCCCATAATCTTCGGCCTCAGCAAAGCCGTCACGTGCACAATTACTATAACCCTCACGTCTCACTGGTTGAATTAAATGGCGTACAAAAACCATCAAAAGTGAACTTACATAAAGAAGTAGGCGACAAGGAAACAACGTTTTGTGAGGTGCAACCGCATGACGTTCGCTCAGTCTCGAGAGGATCGTGACGAAGAGTGGAAGCTCGTGGGCAAAAAGAGTAAAAAAGAAAAGGTAAAAAAGCGTAAAGAATAGAAAGAAAAAATAGAGTGAAAAGAGGCCCCCCTGCGATAAGTGGATCCTCGAGTAACTCTAGAGAATTTGTTTCGCGAGACGCTGTCACAGTGCAAGTGTCAGGAAGAACAAGACGGAGAGATGCAGGAAATGCAGGGAGTGGCGAAGAGACTGGGAGGGGATCCAACACTTGAATATAATTCAGATGATTCCGAGTTCACTTGGAGTTATTATTGAATTATTATCGAATTGCTTATGAGGCGTTTTTCACTGTCAGAAATGGCGGATGTGGTGGAGGCGTGCGACGTTGAGGACATTTGTGAGGGATTTAGAGTGAATATAGAAACATTTCGAGAATTGCAGAGGGAGCTATTGGAGTGAGTGATGCTGCCACATCTGCCGAAAGGTAATTACGGTAGAAACACTTATGTCTGCAATTGAGACACTTTAGGTCTGTTTTCAAGACTTTTGTGGCCATTTTTAGTGTCGAATTACGATATTAAGATATGCATTCTAGTCATTCCAAGTGTCTTACTCGAGGATCTCAGGTTATTTACGATTTTTATTAGATTGTATGTGTTGGTTTATTAAGGGGAGACTACTGTGAGTTTGAAATGTCGTGGGCTATTGAAGTGAGACTTTCCATGCGTTGAAAATCGATTATATAGATCTGAAAACGAATAATTCGTGCAAAAAAAAATTTTTTTATTGTTCGTTTGCCCGAAAACGCTTAAAATGCCAAAAACAGTGCAGGGCCTCCAATTTTTGAACTGCGGAGGATTTTTTTTTTTTTTCAAAATTTTCGGAAAAATATGGGGAATAACAATTATGAGCTATTTTTTTTTAATTCGCCTTTTACATAGCTAAATTTGCTTTTTTGTATTTTTTTAACACAAATAGTGAATTTTTTTATATGAAAAAAACCGAAATCAGCTGTGTAGGAGTCGAATTGCAAAAAACTGGCTCGTCATTGTTGTTCCACACATTTTTCCGAAAATTTTGAAAAAAAAATCTTTTGTAGCTCAAAAATTGGAGACCCTGGCCTGTTTTTAGCATTTTAAACGTTTAACGAATAGACAAATGTAAAACAGCAACGACAATGTAAATAATCCATAATAAACATTCCAGCACTCTAAATAATAATTAATCATTTTAGAAAAAACCTAAATTGCTAGAAAGTTCTGAATAACTATAATGTGATAAAATTAGTCAAGAAATCTACCGGAAATTTCATTCAAAAATTTCCAACATGCCCCCTCGCTAGCCATAAACAATTGAAATAAAAGTGAGACCGCAATCTGCTGGCACTTCACCGTTTCCACGTGTCTCGAATCCATGATGAGCTTACGTTGGTGGTATATCGAAATGACGAGACATTCAGTGGTGCACGGCTCATTGAAATGGAGAGTCCGGTACGTGCGTAAATTTGTATCGAACGTGGCTGATGCTGACACCCATATTTTTTCCCATATCGTTATTTCGGACAATGGGTTGGTGGGCTAGGGAGAAATGAAGGATAAAACAAGTCGAGAATGAGCTCCCAGAGGCGAAAATAATCGATAAAACGACGATGTGTGACTTTTAAGAAAAAAAGATTTTTGGATGAATTGCTCTCCAAAAGGATGTGTTGAATCGATCGACACAAAATTTTGTACACAAGTGTGACTCAGGAATACTAATTAGTAGCCAGAATCTCAGATGTTTATTCCAAGTTTTACGCGTATTATGGAACGCCACCTCAACTCTCAATTGAAAAAATTGGAAAAACGCGAATATCTCGAAAACTTTTCAGGAACGGGTACTCATATTTTGATTGATCTTGATAGGCAGCGGCAAGACGGGTATTTTGAAAAAAAAATGAAATCAACCAGATCAGTAGTTTGGGAGATATTAAACAAAACAGTTTTTCACAAAAAGTTGAATATCTTCTAAACCACTCGTCCGATTTCGCCTACCCACAATCCCATTCTGTAATATCATAAAAGCTACAATCTCACCAAATTTCAACATCCTATCTAATTTTTTTCGGGAGTTATCGTGCACAGAACGATTTCCTCATGAAAACGAAAAATGCCGATTATTACCAAACTGTCCCCAGTTACATAGCAATATTGTGATTTGATTTGATAGATACTATCACAAGGAATATTTTGAAGTTAAAAAAATTCAATTCAGTCACGTAGTTTTCGAGATATCGAGGAAAAAGGATTTTTGAGAAATTGCTGTATCTCGGAAACTAATTGACAAATTGAGCTAAAATCGCGCCCAGCAATGCTCCAAATTAACACTAATTACCTGACGAAATTTCAGATTTTTAGCTTCAACTTTAGTCCTTTTTCGGTGAAGATTTCTAAAAATTTTCCGAAAAATTCGCGCACACATCCGGACATACATACTCACATTTTCTAAAGGCATCATACCTTCACGTTTCACGACATTCCACGTCATGTCCACACAAAAAACCTTGCAAAGTCATAAAAGACACGTCACAAAGTATTGTAACGTAGGGCGCCCTTGACAGTGTGATTATTCATAGCAATGAACGGGGGAATTCGGTTTGGGAGAGCCATACCACCCGTAATTCTGCACAGTCTCCGAGCAGTATTCATCGGTCCGTGGGGAACATACTATCATGGGGCCTAATAAAGGTCGTTTTCTTCTCCAATGCCTCCCACAAATCCCGGGAGCTTTCCGCATCCTCAGGATTCAAAGTGCTCCTACGACCCAAAGAGTTGAGGGTGCCTCAATAATTAATTGAATAATCAATGTTTTTCTTTTATTCCACGTTAATCCGCAGAACGGATAATGGAATATTATTATTCAATCGGTCATTACAGCTTGGTGTGTAATTCAACATTGATCCAAGCCTAAATTATTCATGAGCTTTCGATATTCGATGGGGAAATAAAATTTAATCATAGGTATGAAATTATTAATTTTATCATCAATCCTATCAATGTCGCATGTGCGTGATCGACTTTGAGTCATTTATATTGTAATGTGGGGGGAATAGTGATGAGGGCGAAAAGTCATTATATCGGAGTGACCTGGGTCAACGTATGAAATTATGAAATGGAAAAAAATATGGTGCGACCTTTAATCTGACCCTTGTGACCTTTAATTTAACCCTTGCGACCCTTAATCTGATCCGTATGACCCTTAATCTGACCGTATGACCCTTAATCTGACCTATATGACCCTTAATCTGCCCCTAATAGCCCTTAATCTGACCCATATAACCCTGAATCTGACCCTTGCGACCCTTGATCTTAGCCACGTGACCCTTATTCAAACTCTCATGACCCGGATTTTGAACCTCGTGACTCTTATTTAGACCCTCGTGACCCTTGTAACCCTTAATTATGGATTCTTAATTTCGAGTACCAAATTTTTATCGCCAGAAGTCGATTTGGATTTTTTAATATAGAGAAAAAATGTTTAAAATAGTTATAATTCTAGGCAAAATGTAATTTGAATGACGCTGAATACTCACGATTTTTTTCCAATTTTTCTCCCGCGATTTAATTGACAATTTTGGTGATTGAAAATGGTTGAATCCCCAATGGGATCTGTACCAAATTGTAGAAGATATTTGGAGATCCATAATGTCAGATATCGTAATAATTTTTATTTTTGTAAATGCGCAAATGTATTTCTTGTCGAGTCCCGATTTGTCACTCAACGGGAATAAATAAATGCCACAAGCGTCTCTTACGATCCCGATTCGGATTATTTGTCTCATATTTCCCGGAAAATTTGATTCCATACAACCAGGAAGTGGTAATAATGTATAAGAGGAATATTGTCATATTCATGAAAGCCTTGTGCTTGTCTTTTTGCCATGCCCTGCAGATATAACCGAGAAGAGATTAGAGCACTTCATCATTAATACGAAGCTGAGTCTGAAACAAGCCAAACAGAAACTAGACGTGTACTACACGGTTAGGGGACTTGTGCCTGAGCTTTTCACCAACCGAGATCCAATGTGCAAGGATCTCATTCGACTACGCCAAACTTTGTATGTATAACCTCGTTTTATGTTTCCCAAGGGAGTCACCTCAATGTACGTCTCATTCGCTAAAGAAGTTGAATGTTATTCCACTCTTCGTGGAAATGGAAGAGTAGGTGATTTATGCACGTTTATTGAGTTGTTAATTATGTTTATGTGAAGTCATTCTAGGAAAAGATGTTATACTGTTACAAATAATTCAATTTTATAGACAATTTGTAATAGCAATTCTCAAGAGAGTGATATTGTATTCGATTTAGGGGAAAAATATAATGAAATTTGAAATTCCACCGAAATTTCCACAATTTAACAATATTAAATATCAAAATTAAAAATAAATTTACCTAAATTTTCTCAATTTTCACAATTCTTATAGAATAATTAAACTGTAATTACCAATTGACGTTGACTGAGAGAAAATTCATTGAAAGGAAATAAAGGAAATAATTTCCTGATTTTTTAGACGAAAATATTAAATATGACACAGGCTCCCCCACCACCGCAGACGCTAGAAACCGTTCCAAAGTCGTAGTTTCCTCTCACGCCATTTTTGGCTGAATCCAACACAACCCGAATGCGAAGTTTTTGCAAGTGTGAGCGCGCCAAGAATTCGATGAAAGTGAGGTATATATCCCAAGTGTTAAACTTTAGCCGTTATAACTTGAAAGAGAAGAAAACTAGAGCATTCCAGCGTGGAAAGACAGAAACCACTCACGAGTCTCATACCAACCCACACACGATACCTCTCTCCGTGAATTGTCGGATGCAACAGAAGAGAAAAAATAAATCGCGTTTTTTATTCTGCTCCATGTTGTTACTGTATCATTAAATTTGCTCTAGCCAATGGATTGCTCTGGCCAGGCTGACTCCAGAGAAATACAGAGAAATACATCGACCCTCGAGTCTCTCTCCCCATTCATACCCAGATCCGTCCTACCCGCTGACTACGGCGGGGATCAAGCCACCATGGATGAACTATCAGGTTGGTACAGATACCCATACCATACCTTTTATAACACCCCTAAAGTCCACTCGAAATCGCGGTAATGTTCCCCGAATCTGTTCCACAGAAAGTTGGGAGCTGAAGTTGGCAGAATGGCGAGACGGGTTCATAATCCAGGAGAATGTTCTCGTGGACGAGTCGCGGAGAGAGGAAACCATCGACGATAATGAATTGTTTGGATTTTCCGGATCCTTTCGTAGGCTTGATATTGATTGATATAATTCTGTTAAATTCATGAAGAAACAAATGGGTCTAACCAAGTTCGTGGCAACAAAGTCGGGACAATAAAATCATGAAACTACGATTAACTGAAAAGAATTAAGGATATTTACCCAAATTTAGTCAATTTTATTTTTCGTTTCAACTGAGTTATCCACTTGATTCGATTTTTCTAAGCGAAATAAAATAAAAGGAAATAACTTTTGCGCCGAAGGAAATTCTATAGAAAATATCTGCAGATTATAAATTACCCAGAAAAATCTAATTCTATTGACCATTTCAATAGAATCGCCCAAAACCGAATACAAAATTGAATAGAAATCCAATAGAATTTTCTAAGAATTCGCTCGACTTTTCTATTAAATTTCTTCGTGCGTGCCGCATTGTCCCTGCTGAAACAAAAAGAAAAAAAAGACCCACGGAAATCAGTGAGTTCTGAGTACAATTCTGATACCCTTCCCACTCTCAAAGGCCACCCCATATATAATAGAAAGTATTCTTTCATTCTTTCTCATCCAGACACAGGAAGTTCAACTATACAGGCTCACCTATTGTGCATTGGCACATACTTGGCTGTAGTAGGTATTGAAGGGCGATGAAATATACTTGAGGGTTCTTACGGTATTATCGATGTTGCACGTCTACACTGAGATGAAGAACGAGGGTGGGTATAGTCACAGCGATTCTCGTGGCAAGCGAGAGGGAATTACTACTAGACGAAGTGGGTGTGGGACTCTTACGACAATCCCGAGGGATACAACTAGGTTCGAGGCGGGATAATAGGGATTATAAATGGCCATGGACCTTTTCCTGCGTGCGCTGTCGGCATCTTATTACCTTTCCTGTCAACAACGGCCTTCTGAAACGAATGTTGCAGTCGGTGGGTCAAGAGCGAAGGCACATCAACTTGAAAAAATAATTGATGAAGAGTGGAGAGTGATGGATTTAATTACTGAATCACTGGACACAGGCGTGATAGATTAGAAAACTGTTGCACTGTCAACTGCCTCGTGCGGGATAGGATTGATCATCCGGAATGGAGAGAATGATTGTTCTGTCACTTCAACAAACTTTCGCGGGGGAATTTCTTCAGCGCGGAGAAGCGCCTGGAGAATGTCCTCAGATGAAGTCTGAAGACAGGAATGAAGTACTTGAAACGAGTGGGGAATTGCTTTTATATCAAGGTATTTACGGCGGGGCGGCCGTGCAGGAGGTGAGGGGGACAGAAATTTATTTTCTAGAATGTTTACCTTTTAACAACCGCGAGTTCTACTCATATTGTTTGCGGATATTCTCATTACTTCCCATTCTCTCCACATGGAAGTATCGTAAAGGAAATGAATTTATCGATTGGAATCCGAAAACATCACATCCCCTCGACCCAGCAAAATCGAACTTCCCGTCAGCACGCGGACGATATTTTCAACTTGAAAACGGAAAACAGCGCTCGAAATTGCTTCTGCAAACAACCCAACACAGTTCTAGATTAGTCGTCACTACAATCCATATCACCTAACTACAGATGTTACTTTGAGGAACCAGGTCAACTGTGAAATGATTCTCCACCACTGTCAACAGTCCCGAATGAAGTTACACCTTCCCCTCCATTTTGTGGAGCGCCATGATATACCTCATCCAAGCTTCATTCTCTCAGAACAGAGGGAGGCTGTGTGTTTCACCTGTGCCATATCCCGCACAAAAATTGCTGTGAGTTAACAGCTTCCTGCAAATAGGAAGTTCCCACTGCAATACCCACCCGTGTTTCTCAGGGTTGGCTGAGAAAATTTTTTTTCTCTTTTTATTAGGCAAATATTTGATAACAAGTAATTTCAACAGACATTTTCAACCTTCTACCGTGTAAACATCGTTAAAAAATTCAAATTATTCCCTACCGAATTGTTAAAATATTTCGACAACAGAATTTAAGATTTTCCAAATTTCCAGTTGGTGTATAATTATATGGAGTGCGGAATATATGTTCGTTGTACATTTCCACAGCCATTGCGACCTTTTCGATAGCAGAAAAATATCTTCATCAGTTATTATTGGTTATTTTATCAGCCTCCGCGTTTGTGGGTAATTTCGCCCAGAGTTTGTGGGTAATGCCGCCCAGGGTTTCTATAGGACTGCTAGACGCTGCAGCTAGAGGGCGGTCGAGTGGCAGCTCGATTGTTTNATTAAAGAATTCTAAGAGAATTAGAATTTAGAGAGAAAAAAATTTCCGCTTCACCCAGCCGGGAATTGAACCCGGGTCTCGATTGTTTGGGATAGTCGGTGGCCACTGGAACACCGGGTAAATTCAGGATAATTTATTATTATTCACATGAAATCTTCCTCAAAATGGAGCCAAAGAATGGCAACGAAGGATGAAAATAGGAAAAATTATAACAGTTGGTCTGCATTGCTCAAAAAATTCATCAAAACAAGGTGGACGGTATTGGACGCACGCCGGGCGGTATTACCCTCAAAGTTCGATTCCATCGCTCACTGGCCGATGGCAATTGAATTACATAATTAAATCCGTTCAATGTTAATAAAAAATCTGTCCTCTTCACATCTTCGAGTAAACACCTCGAAGAACCCATTCTAACCGTTTACGACTCCTTGCAGACTGCGAGGCTGGAAAAAAAGACTCATGTCCCTCAGGTGGGCGGTACATGCACCAGCTCCCATACCGAAATTCACTTACTAAAAATATCCGCAACGCTTGCACACGATAGTGAGGCGGTTGAAAAGAAAAATCCGGAAAAGCGGCATATACGGAAATGAATAATGGATCGCATGTTTTCGTCAAGTCTTTGCCCGTTCTCTCAACGTGCATGCCTTCCTCTCGATCCTTCAATACATCTCGATGCATCTGCATTTCCCCCGGTTCCTCTCATCTTCCAGATCCGTCAAGCAAACTCTCGGTACTCACACCTGTCGCAAGTAAGATCTAAACTTTTTCAAGTTTCTGGAGTTGAGGCAGGAATCCGGGGACGGATTAATGTTCGAATACGCAGGCCCATTAGTCATTCAATATGGGGATATTTTTTGGGTTGGGGGAAGGGAAATTAATTTAGTTTTCGCTGATTCTATTGAAATGTTCAATAGAAAATATTCAATAGAATTCGATTTTTCTATACAACTTATTCTCCTCAGATATTTTCTATAGAATTTCCTCGGCCCATATTTTCCAATTTTTTTCCATTTTGATAATAATAATAATAATAATAATAATAATAATAATAATAATAATAATAATAATGAAATGTAATAATTATAAAACTGAAAAATCAATTATTTGAAATAATAATAATTCTTTTCAGTAAAATATAGTGATAGTTTTTAATTATTTAATTTTTTTTTCTTCTCATAAAGAAAATTAAACAAAAAAACTTGAGAAAATTACAGTAGAAAAAATTCTACAGAAATCGTCTGAATAGAATAAGTTACATAAAAAAATCGCATTCGCTCGTTCTTCTATTAAATTGTTTCATCTCTGATTTTTCTGCGTCAGGTACACAATATTAGTATTTTAATCAAACTATATTAAATAAAAAATTACACTGTTTTATGTTTTAAAGAGTATCCCCACGCGTAAAATCCAAAAGACCCCCAGAACTGTCAAAATGATTGAAAAGCGATAGCTCTCGACATCAGAAGAGCCAGAGGCACCTGCAACAAATAATCAATACATCCAATAAGACCCAAGCCCTCTGTATGACCCCTGGAGTGCAGCGACAAATACCCCTAAAGGATGACACTTGTCTCCCAGGAGTCATCGGCGAGATGCAATTTTAAAGACGCGCTTTCACGAGTCGCTCGTAAACTTTACGACAGCCCTGACGCGTTGATAACACCAGCCATTCCTGCGTAGCCCGTATGTGTTTACGTTCATCGGCAATACGACACCCTACCCGGCCCTGAGAGTAGCGTCAGCAGCTCCGGCCTGACTCTTAAAAATCTTTACAGCGGGTGTGAGACGAGAAAAACAGAAAAATTGAAACAAAAACAAACACATTTGAGGATGACCCTTTTTCCCCCTCGAGTTTTTGGCGAATTGCCAGCACAACTCGTAACTTTCTCACGACGCTGGCCTCTCGGTAGTGGTAACGATTTATCACCTAACGTGCGGTATAATCAGTGGAAAAATATGTCATGAGTGTAAACATTTGTATGACCCGGGTGAAATATAAGGAGTTTCGAGTGGAAAACTGTTTATCAATGGTGGCGGATTTTGAGTTATGAATGGGAAACATTTTCACTGGTGTGCACGCACGAAATTTAATAGAAAAACCTATCGAATTCATTAGGAAATTCTATTGAATTTCTATTGAACTTTCTATTAGTTTTTGGCTGATTCTATTGACATTTTCAATAGAAAAAAATCAATAGAAAAAGTTAACAGAATTCGATATTTCTATATAACTCATTTTTTTAATATATTTTCTATAGAATTTGCTCGTCTCAAATTTTCCAAGTTTTTTTCATTCTATTTTTCTTTTCTTCTCATCAAGAAAATCAAACGAAAAAATTTTGAAAATTTGAGCCGAGAAAATTCTATAGAAAATATCTCAATAGAATAAGTTGTATAGAAAAATTGAATTCTATAGACTTTTTCTACTTAATATTTTCTATTGAACAGTACAATAACAATTCAATAGAATTTTCTAACGAATTCGATAGGTTTTTCTATTAAATGTTTCGTCCGCGTGACCTTGTTAAGGCTCTCTTGCCAAATGTGAAGTATGATAAATTGAAAATGATGGGGCCTCTGATTTCCGGGCGACTTCTTTTAATGCCGAATATCATATGATCGAATGGAATATTGCCATGCAATTCCCCCGGCACATGCGGTAATTGAGAACATAAAACATTCATTCGGTTTTATGATCGTAGATTCATGCTATAACTTTTAAACTGATCCCGTTGGTTTTTATTCCCTGTGGAGGGTCACAGTTGTTGTTTTAGAGAGTACTTTCGAGTCCAAGATGTTCATTTGATTTTGATTTTTT